TTCATGGTCGGCTCACCCATATGCGGATACCTTGGGGATAGGTGGGAATCGTCTTGATTATTACAATATTTAATGCTGATTACAATCAAAGCTCTATAGATTCAACCGTAAAATAATTATTATCGTTGGAGTCGTACTATGGCTTGCAGCAGTAATTGCCTCTAGTTTTGTACCTGCCAACGTAAGGCTGCCCTTTTTCTTTTTATCTCAAAAACGATCTATTTCTTCACCAATTTTATTTCAGCTTTTCTGGCTATTCCTCGTTTTACGCGGCGTTGTTGGTCTTGGTGAAGCCTCATACTCAAATGTGTGCCCATCGATGATTTCCGACATGTTCACTGGCACGGCTAGGAGTCGAATGTATATGGTGTTTTACTTTGCCGTACCTGTGGGAAGGTTTGTTAGTGCTAATTTCAAATAATGAGGTGTATCATATACTATAACAGCTTATCATATTACTGTGCAAACACTTCTGGTAAGTAAGCCTACCAAAGATGGAACAGAACCCTGACTTACTTCCGGCAATATGTCAGCAACAGCCGGATCTCGCAATTTGCTTTCAAGAATATTAATTTCGCATCTACATCTATTTTAGTAACAGAATGGTTTGCGTTATTAGAAAAAGATCAGAGACTTTGTAGCGACACCGAAACCATAGTTTGATAGGGTTTATGTTAATCACGAGAATTTACCGCGATTTGAACCTAAACATCACAACATCCATGAAGAAGATGATGTGACATCGTGAATGGCATATCTTATTCCCTAGCATGGATTACATTTCTAACGGTGTGGTGAATGAGCCTAGAGAAATAAGGGAAATAGATTTTCTGTCAGTTGATCGCTCCGCCACTGGTATAAATTAGATAATACGCTGATTTCAAAATTTTCTAGAAATTTCAAGGTTGGTTCCACTTTTGTCGTGCATGCACAGCCTTAGTGCTACTTCCTCATCAATTATAGCCTTGAAAGAACGTTTTTGATCGATTTAAGTATAATGATCAATTTTATGATTAATTTTTGTGCAGATCACTCAACATCCGGAAAAAATACGCTGCCAATAATTGAAAAAGTTCGGTAAGGTTAGACTTCGATGTTAGTGATGAAAACATTACGCAAGCAAATGATTTAGTTCACAAATACAAAAAATAGGATGAATAAAAAACATACCAGTCAAATTTCATTATA